TCTTTATCCACTGGGCCATGTGTCCTTGTGAATATGGCAAATGAAGATGAGGATAACAGTCCGAATAATGTAAATAATATAAGTAATCATAATACCTCATCTCAGAGATATAGACAGCCATTATATTACTATAATATGGCAATGAAGATGAGTCACTGGATCTAACCAACGTCTTATTCAATGGGCCATGTGTCCTTGTGAATATGGCAATGAAGATGAGGATGACAGTCCGAATAATGTAAATAATATAAGTAATCATAATACCTCATCTCAGAGATATAGACAGCCATTATATCACTAGAAGCTAGTCACTGGATCTAACCAACGTCTTTATTCACTGGGCCATGTGTCCTTCTGAATATGGCAATGAAGATGAGGATGACAGTCCGAATAATGTAAATAATATAAGTAATCATAATACCTCATCTCAGAGATATAGACAGCCATTATATCACCAGAAGCTAGTCACTGATCTAACCAACGTCTTTATTCATATGGGCCATGTGTCCTTCTGAATATGGCAATGAAGATGAGGATAACAGTCCGAATAATGTAAATAATATAAGTAATCATAATACCTCATCTCAGAGATATAGACAGCCATTATATCACCAGAAGCTAGTCAATGGATCTAACCAACGTCATTATTCACTGGGCCATGTGTCCTTGTGAATATGGCAATGAAGATGAGGATAACAGTCCGAATAATGTAAATAATATAATATAAGTAATCATAATACCTCATCTCAGAGATATAGACAGCCATTATATCACCAGAAGCTAGTCAATGGATCTAACCAACGTCATTATTCACTGGGCCATGTGTCCTGATGAGGATAACAGCAATAATGTAAATATATAGTAATCATAATACCTCATCTCAGAGATATAGACAGCCATTATATCACCAGAAGCTAATGAAGATTCAGAGGCCGAATATGGCAATAACAGTCCGAATAATGTAAATAATATAAGTAATCATAATACCTCATCTCAGAGATATAGACAGCCATTATATCACTAGAACCTAGTCACTGGATCTAACCAACGTCTTTATTCACTGGGCCATGTGTCCTTCTGAATATGGCAATGAAGATGACGATGACAGTCCGAATAATGTAAATAATATAAGTAATCATAATACCTCATCTCAGAGATATAGACAGCCATTATATCACTAGAAGCTAGTCACTGGATCTAACCAACGTCTTTATCCACTGGGCCATGTGTCCTTCTGAATATGGCAATGAAGATGAGGATAACAGTCTGAATAATGTAAATAATATAAGTAATCATAATACCTCATCTCAGAGATATAGACAGCCATTATATCACTAGAAGCTAGTCACTGGATCTAACCAACGTCTTTATCCACTGGGCCATGTGTCCTTGTGAATATGGCAATGAAGATGAGGATAACAGTCCGAATAATGTAAATAATATAAGTAATCATAATACCTCATATCAGAGATATAGACAGCCATTATATTACTATAAGCTAGTCACTGGATCTAACCAACGTCTTTATTCAATGGGCCATGTGTCCTTCTGAATAGGGCAATGAAGATGAGGATGACAGTCCGAATAATGTAAATAATATAAGTAATCATAATACCTCATCTCAGAGATATAGACAGCCATTATATCACTAGAAGCTAGTCACTGGATCTAACCAACGTCTTTATTCAATGGGCCATGTGTCCTTCTGAATATGGCAATGAAGATGAGGATGACAGTCCGAATAATGTAAATAATATAAGTAATCATAATACCTCATCTCAGAGATATAGACAGCCATTATATCACTAGAAGCTAGTCACTGGATCTAACCAACGTCTTTATTCACTGGGCCATGTGTCCTTCTGAATATGGCAATGAAGATGAGGATGACAGTCCGAATAATGTAAATAATATAAGTAATCATAATACCTCATCTCAGAGATATAGACAGCCATTATATCACCAGAAGCTAGTCACTGGATCTAACCAACGTCTTTATTCACTGGGCCATGTGTCCTTCTGAATATGGCAATGAAGATGAGGATAACAGTCCGAATAATGTAAATAATATAAGTAATCATAATACCTCATCTCAGAGATATAGACAGCCATTATATCACCAGAAGCTAGTCAATGGATCTAACCAACGTCTTTATTCACTGGGCCATGTGTCCTTGTGAATATGGCAATGAAGATGAGGATAACAGTCCGAATAATGTAAATAATATAAGTAATCATAATACCTCATCTCAGAGATATAGACAGCCATTATATCACCAGAAGCTAGTCACTGGATCTAACCAACGTCATTATTCACTGGGCCATGTGTCCTTGTGAATATGGCAATGAAGATGAGGATAACAGTCCGAATAATGTAAATAATATAAGTAATCATAATACCTCATCTCAGAGATATAGACAGCCATTATATCACTAGAACCTAGTCACTGGATCTAACCAACGTCTTTATTCACTGGGCCATGTGTCCTTGTGAATATGGCAATGAAGATGAGGATAACAGTCCGAATAATGTAAATAATATAAGTAATCATAATACCTCATCTCAGAGATATAGACAGCCATTATATCACCAGAAGCTAGTCACTGGATCTAACCAACGTCTTTATTCACTGGGCCATGTGTCATTGTGAATATGGCAATGAAGATGAGGATAACAGTCTGAATAATGTAAATAATGTAAGTAATCATAATACCTCATCTCAGAGATATAGACAGCCATTATATCACTAGAAGCTAGTCACTGGATCTAACCAACGTCTTTATTCACTGGGCCATGTGTCCTTCTGAATATGGCAATGAAGATGAGGATGACAGTCCGAATAATGTAAATAATATAAGTAATCATAATACCTCATCTCAGAGATATAGCAGCCATTATATCACTAGAAGCTAGTCACTGGATCTAACCAACGTCTTTATCCACTGGGCCATGTGTCCTTCTGAATATGGCAATGAAGATGAGGATAACAGTCCGAATAATGTAAATAATATAAGTAATCATAATACCTCATCTCAGAGATATAGACAGCCATTATATCACTAGAAGCTAGTCACTGGATCTAACCAACGTCTTTATTCACTGGGCCATGTGTCCTTGTGAATATGGCAATGAAGATGAGGATAACAGTCCGAATAATGTAAATAATATAAGTAATCATAATACCTCATCTCAGAGATATAGACAGCCATTATATCACCAGAAGCTAGTCACTGGATCTAACCAACGTCTTTATTCACTGGGCCATGTGTCCTTCTGAATATGGCAATGAAGATGAGGATAACAGTCTGAACAATGTAAATAATATAAGTAATCATAATACCTCATCTCAGTGATATAGACAGCCATTATATCACCAGAAGCTAGTCACTGGATCTAACCAACGTCTTTATTCACTGGGCCATGTGTCCTTGTGAATATGGCAATGAAGATGAGGATAACAGTCCGAATAATGTAAATAATATAAGTAATCATAATACCTCATCTCAGAGTTATAGACAGCCATTATATCACTAGAAGCTAGTCACTGGATCTAACCAACGTCTTTATCTACTGGGCCATGTGTCCTTGTGAATATGGCAATGAAGATGAGGATAACAGTCCGAATAATGTAAATAATGTAAGTAATCATAATACCTCATCTCAGAGATATAGACAGCCATTATATCACTAGAAGCTAGTCACTGGATCTAAGCAACGTCTTTATTCACTGGGCCATGTGTCCTTGTGAATATGGCAATGAAGATGAGGATAACAGTCTGAATAATGTAAATAAGGTAAATAATCATAATACCTCATCTCAGAGATATAGACAGCCATTATATCACTAGAAGCTAGTCACTGGATCTAACCAACGTCTTTATTCACTGGGCCATGTGTCCTTGTGAATATGGCAATGAAGATGAGGATAACAGTCCGAATAATGTAAATAATATAAGTAATCATAATACCTCATCTCAGAGATATAGACAGCCATTATATCACTAGAAGCTAGTCACTGGATCTAACCAACGTCTTTATTCACTGGGCCATGTGTCCTTGTGAATATGGCAATGAAGATGAGGATAACAGTCCGAATAATGTAAATAATATAAGTAATCATAATACCTCATCTCAGAGATATAGACAGCCATTATATCACTAGAAGCTAGTCACTGGATCTAACCAACGACTTTATCTTCTGGGCCATGTGTCCTTGTGAATATGGCAATGAAGATGAGGATAACAGTCCAAATAATGTAAATAATATAAATAATCATAATACCTCATCTCAGAGATATAGACAGCCATTATATCACTAGAAGCTAGTCACTGGATCTAACCAACGTCTTTATCCACTTGGCCATGTGTCCTTGTGAATATGGCAATGAAGATGAGGATAACAGTCCGAATAATGTAAATAATATAAGTAATCATAATACCTCATCTCAGAGATATAGACAGCCATTATATTACTAGAAGCTAGTCACTGGATCTAACCAACGTCTTTATCCACTTGGCCATGTGTCCTTGTGAATATGGCAATGAAGATGAGGATAACAGTCCGAATAATGTAAATAATATAAGTAATCATAATACCTCATCTCAGAGATATAGACAGCCATTATATCACTAGAAGCTAGTCACTGGATCTAACCAACGTCTTTATCCACTTGGCCATGTGTCCTTGTGAATATGGCAATGAAGATGAGGATAACAGTCCAAATAATGTAAATAATGTAAGTAATCCCTCATCTCAGAGATATAGACAGCCATTATATCACTAGAAGCTAGTCACTGGATCTAACCAACGTCTTTATCCACTTGGCCATGTGTCCTTGTGAATATGGCAATGAAGATGAGGATAACAGTCCAAATAATGTTAATAATGCAAACGATTTAAATTCATAATCCGAATAATCTATGATGATCGAAGTTAACCAATTTTTTCAATGTTACTTTTCTTTTACGGTCTGACTATATTGTTTAAGGTCATACTTACTTCATCCACGCGAATCCATCCAAATACGTCTTCACGTAAGAATAAAGGATCTTATAATCCCGCCGGGCGTCGGTCGATAATAAACTGATGTTGATTCGTTTAATTTCATGGAGAATGCTTTCATAGTCAGTCTGGAAAAGAGAGGAAAGACGACACGTGACAAAGACACACAAGAGGATGTTAAACAATATCAAAGTGCAGATGATCATCACAACAGTTTTTATTTAAAATCGGAAAACATTATTTATTTTCTAAGGGTAGCTGAAATGTGACACACGACCGAAACACTCGACCAAAACTATATAGCACTCACTAAGGATCGAACTCACTATTCAGTTGTAATTGATCTAGTGAGATGAACTTGCTAATCCTTATACCACATCGAAGTCCCCAGGAAAGTGATTTACTCGGGATAGCTTAGATGTGGCACACGGCCGAAACATCGTAGCACTCACTAATCAATCGTAATTGTTCTCGCGAGACAAGGTTGGTAATTATTACAGCAAGTCGAGGTGCCCTAAAATGATTTTCAAACCGTAGCTTTAGTTGAAAGGATTGATCTAGCGAGACAAGATTGTTAATCATGACACCACGTCAAAGTGCCCTTTTTTTCTAAGCGAAGCTTAGATGTGTCAAAGTCGAGAGTGAGGATCGAACTCACTATTCAGTTGTAATTGACAGCCAGACAAGCTTGTTAAAAACGTCGAAGTGCCCAAAAATGTTTTTTAAAGCGTGGCTTAGATGCGTCAAAAATGCTTAAGGAGTACATTGAGAATCGAACTCACCATTGAGTGTTAAAAATCTTGCAAGACAAGCTTGTTATTAAACCACGTTGATGTTCTCTAAATAATTTTCTAAGTATAGCTCAGATGTCGCACAGGGTCAAAAGTATAGAACACCTAGTAAGGATGGAACACACTATTCCATTATAATTGATCTAGCGAGACAAGCTTGTTAACCATTACACCACGTCCAAGCGTCCCCATCAGCATTTAGTAATAGTTTAATACTTATTAAAAACTTACCTAATTTTATAGATAATTAAATAACTATCCTGTATCCGCGGTATATTGATTCCAAGTTCTTCCGCGGATACAGGAATATTCAAGCGTCTTACACAAAGTGATATTATATTTGTATATAATATACGCTAATTGTCCAGTCGATAGGGTCAGAATAAACTGACCCCCAACTTCCCGAAACACATACCAGAAATAAACTCGACCAGTGTTTGCCATTTTGTCTCAAGTGCAAGGCGGATTTTTGTAAACTATTGTCCAACAAAAACTAAGCCCCAAGAACAACTCAAGCTAGAGGGTTACTAAATAATGTTGTAATGACGTAAGGGAGGAGTTATTATAGGATATGTTAGATAACGGTTGACCCTAGACTAAAGAGTTTATTTGATCGAAGCATCCCCCCGGGAAATTATTGGGAAGAAGCTGATTCCTCCTTATTATTGGAATATGAAGGAATTGATGAGTCGATTCAGAAACGAGGACTAGCGGGTTAACGAAATATAGTTTTTCTGGGCTATGGAGGGGGGTAGCAAACGTTGTTTAAATACCAGACCTGTACTTACTCCTTGACAAAATTTCAGTTCTGACCTATACCTTTCTATTAAGTCGTTAACGACGAAAATTTATGGAAAACTAGACTACCCGTGACCCGTTGGGGCACTGGCAGTTCAGCATATAAAACGTTGACGTTAATGTCAACATTAAAAAATTGTCTGTTGAAAATTGAAACAAAACAACTTACTGTATAAACAACGCATATTTTAAAATCTTATTCACTTAAAATATTTTCTAAATCAGATTAACTTAAAAATATTTTTTAATATGCCAAAGCATATTTTTAAATCATATTCACTTGAAAATAAATGATATTTTAAATATGCCAAGAATTGTTTGTTAAATAAAGTATTTTTTGTTTATAGAAAACTGAAATATAAATAATTACTCTACAAAAAACTAGACGAAAAAGCAAAGCAGGATGTCTTTAACTAAATATTTTAATTAAAAAAATTTCTGTTTGAAGAAAACTGTATGAACAACTTATTTTAAAATATTATTCACTCAAAATATTTGTAAATCAGATTAACTTAAAAATGTTTTTTATTTTCAATATTTAAAATATTATTTGTTTAAAGAAAGCTGAAATATAAATAATTGCTCTACAAACAACTGGACGAAACAGCAAAGCGGGATCTCTTTGTGTCTGTCTTTAACTTAAAAATATTTTAATTAAAAGAATTGTTTGAACAAAGTTCAAATAAAAATTCTTACTGTATGAACAACTCGTATTTTTAAATCTTATTCACTTAAATCAGATTAACTTAAGTCATTATGCGCTGGACGGACGCGCCACGCATGCAAGCACGCAATCACAGAGATGTGGAAAGAGAGAGGTGGAAAAAAAACTTCAATCATTATGCGTCGTACGGACGAAGCACCGCGCAAACACGCAATCCCAGACATTTAGTATTATATAGATAGATGGAAACAAAAAGGACACATACTTAGAGTCAGAAAGAGGATAGTTGATAATTTCTAGGGCAAATAAGGAGGAAAGAGGACTTGGCAAATTTGATATTCAGAGGACAAAGGAAAACAATGCATACCCTACCTAGCGAGCTTGAGTAAATGGATGGCGAAATAAGGCTTCAGAGAGATAAAAAAAAAAATACCAAATTTATTAAAATCTACAAAGGACAGGAAATTGAGGAGAGCCAATTTAGAGTGACTGAATCAAATTTTGAATCAAGCCGAGCTTCTCGGCTTGACGGTCGAATTCTCAGCCTTTGAGCAGAGAGGAACCTGGACGAGGCTCAGCCGAAGGGCAGAGTCTCGTTCAGGGAGGTTGACCAACCCGATCCCGTTTATACGGGTTCTACGGGCATTTTTTGGCCGAGCCTACGGGCTCGGGAAACCCACGTTAAACTCGGCCTTGTGCCACATGCAACCCTCGTAGGAGGGTGGTATTTACTTGATTCCCACAAAATCAAGATATGACACAAGGTCGTTTAACGTGGGAGACCCGAGTGTTTCCACTCAAAGGCCACTGGTCAAAATTGGTCATAGCTTGTCCAAGCTGGTCAGAGCCTAGTCAAAGCTGGTCATGACTTGTCCTAACAGGTCCAGGCCAGAGCCAGTCCAAGCTAGTCAAAGCCTTGATCGAATCTCAGCCATAGGCCAAGAAACGATCCAATATTTGTCAAAAACCCCAGCCGAAAAATCGGCCGGGAGGATTAACCCTCGTAGGAGGGTGGATAGATACCAATTTAGAGTGACTATTTATAGACCTCTACAAACAAAAGAGTGCTCCAAAGGGAGGTAATCATAAAACAAGGGAGATTACTCCCGGTTACTTTATCACATTCACTTTTATCAAATGTTTAGTTTTAATTCCAATTCTAATTATTGCTTTTTAAATCCATAAACACCGCTGAAGGTTATTAAAATGATAGCGGTGTCATGACAAAAAAAGTCCTTTTAATAATATGTCTCATCGTAGATACGTTTATCCATGTTTGCTAAGATGTCACCAAATCTTGTGAAGTTTGCTACACGTATAACATGCAAGAGCTTTGCAGATGTTGAATATTATAATTGGTTCATATATTTTAATAATTTTAGTAAATGTTTATAAATTTATAAAAAAAAAATTGTTTTCATATTTATTTCTTTATAAGCTTGTAAATGATAAATATTGCATTGCTTTAGTTTTTACATTGTTGTAAATATAAAATTATTCTTGTAAATAAACAATCTAATAAATAAATAATGTTTATATTTTTGTTGTAAATTCCCAAGAACAAAAAAAAAAGTATAAATTCACTTTCATTGTAGTTTTAGGTCTCATTCCAATTCTAATCATCACTTTTTAAAACAATAATCATTGTCGAGGAGTGAAGGTAGTTAAAATAATTGCGTTGTCATTCTTTTGATATTAAGTCTTACTGCAGGTACGAAAGTCCATGCTTGCCATATATATTTCAGCTTTAGATAACACACATAGGGTTGATATACCGTAAAAAAATCACTTAATCAACTCTAGGTAAGAGAAAGAAAATTTGATTACAACGAAAAAGCAAGGCAAAAAAGAAACTGGATAAAGTTATGGAAAATGTCAAAACAAAAATCACAGATGCTTACAGTCTACCTTCCTCATCATTTAATTAAAAATCAACAAACAGCTCTGTAATGTTGTAAATATAAAATTATTCTTGTAAATAAATAATCCAATAAATAAATAGTGTTTGATATTTTTGTTGTAAATTCTCAAGAACAAAGAAAATATATAAATTTACTTTCATCATATGTTTAGATTTTATTCCAATTTTAATCATCGCTTTTTAAAACAATAAGCATTTCTAAGGTCGTTAAAATAATAGCGTATTAGAAAACAGTAAAAAATAAAAATCCTTTTAATACATCATAATATTAATAATATTGTGGATTCATAAAAAGTTTGACATCATCATTGATTCTTCGTCATATTCAATGAAGACACAAAGACATGAAGAATCGTTTCTGTCAAGAGGGGAGTTTGGACATTCCAGGCAGTTTCTGATCTGCTTCTGTATTTACCTTTTTTTATTCTCTTATTTCTTTTCATATTTATTTCTTTATAAAATGGTAAATAATAAATATTTACTTATATTTTTATAATCTTGTAAATATAAAATTATTCTTGTAAATAAACAATCTAATAAATAAATAGTATTTAATATTTTTGTTATAAATTCTCAAGAACAAAAAATGCATAAATTTACTTTCATCAAATGCTTAGGTTTTGTTAACAATTCTAATCATCGCCTTTTAAAACAATAAACATTGCCGAGGAGTGAAGGTAGTTAAAATAATAGCGATGTCATGGGAAAAACCGTCCTTTTAATGCTCCGCTTTCTTGCAGGCACAAAGATCCTTGTTTGCCGAAAATTCTTTTTTATCAAATTTTCACTGGTATAGTTAGTTAAAATAAGATTTGTTTGCTATGGTCTTATTTTTCGCGTCTGTTCATACTGTTACTAATGTTAGTGTAATTAAATGACTAAATATTAGTAAGCATTCTTGTAATAGTGTTTAACATTTTTGTTGTCAGCTCTCAAGAACAAAAAATGTATAAATATGTTTAGGTTTCATCATAATTATAACCATCGCTTTTTTTAAAATAAAGAAGAGTGAAGATAGTAAAAAAAAAAGCACTTTCGTGGGAAAAATCTTGCTTTTGGTTTAATATTACGTCTTTTTTGCTGTCACGTTTATCCATGTTTGCCAATTTTATCTTAAGAAACCTCGATTGTCTTTCGTCTGATTCTATCTTTAGAAATCTTGTCAAAGTTTTGCATTCAGTCGCGCAGAGTTTTTGCGTTTACCTTCCGACGCTCAAAGGCTTCAAGAGAAAACGATTCCAGTTCGTCGTCATAATCATGGATGCCAAGGTGCGTAGCGAATTCTGGATACTCTTTGAGAATATGGCGAAATATTCTTTCTTCCAATCGACGCAGTTTCTCTTCTTCTTCGTTTTCTATTTTAAAAAAGAGAGAAAAAGATAAAACAAAAAAAGCAAGTTTATATTAATTGTTTCTAATTGCTGTGAAGAAGAAAAAAACAGACAAGCCTGCAAATGCAAGAAGACAGGTAAAGAACAAAACAAAAGTACAAAAATGCGAATAACCAGTTGGTAACATCAACATCAAAGAAGTACAGAGGATGGAAAGTATGACACCAAAATCCGAAGTACGCATTGGGTTAATGAAAGATGCGTTCTAAAAACTAAACAAAGTACTAAGAAAAAATTCCGTTAGAAACAAAGATATTTATTTGATTATTTTTTACGGCTTATCAACCCTTTGCAGGTTGTTTAAAGCCAAATAATGGTTTTAGACTAAGAATTTTTATTAGATAATAATGGTTTAGTGATACAAAGAGGTGGGTTCATAACTAATCAGAATTTGATAAACAAGAAATGTGGATATAAAGTGGGGTCCTATTCTATATTACAATTAATATATAAACTGAACCCTCACTTTTAGTTTCTCTACATTTATATTCCAGATAATATAAATAAATCTAAAACATGGCAAGAAATTATAATGTGGATCTAAAGTGGGGGATCAATTTCATATTACGGTCAAGATGTACACCGATCCTTCATTTTATGGCCACGGTAGTTTCTCTACATTTATATTCCAGAGAATGTAAATAAATCTAAAGTACATGCCTGCGGTGGATTTTGGATAACTGGAGGCAGTGTAATGGTTAACAAGCTTGTCACACTTGGATAATTACTAGTGAGTTCGATCCTCACTGGGTGCCTCCTACTTTCGGCCTTGTGCTACAATTAAACTACGCTTGAAAAATCACTAAACATTGGAATTAGAACCATTTATGACTTGGCGATTTTCAATAGCCGCATAAATCTTTGTTGCTCAGATCTACAAATTTTAAAAACTCTTGTTCTTCCGAATTTATTCATCTCCATTTACAGAAGCCGTAACTAATATAATCATGTCTACCAAACTGATAACACCCAGTTCTTGATCATGTCTGAGACAATCAAAATTAATTTCGGACAGTTTTAAGCCAGATGTACAAGAAGTCTCCATTTATGGTTCAATCAACCTAAAAAAACATTCGCCAACAAAATCGCCCCATTTTTTCCCTGAGACTAAAGCAAAAAAAGGATGTTCACAGAAATAGTACGGCTTTGTCTTGTCTCTCCCGTTTTGCTAAATGCCAAAAACAACGCCGCAGCTAAATTACAAAAGAAAACACATTTCAGACTCACGGATCAGAGATCTCAATTCTTTTAATGTTATTTTAAGTATTCAAGCTTTCTGTTCTGAAAAGCATTCGCACTTGTATTGCACATAGCAGTCGGGAAAGAAAGAAATATTTCAACAGATACAGACAAGATACAGAGACGGATGAAGATTGTAATTCTTTTGTTAGTTTGTACCACATGTCGTATTTGATAAACGCCGTTTGGTTCTATTAAGATGAATTGAGGGTCGGTGTGTATTTATATTGTATCATTTGCTATTGTAAATCTAGCAATTCTACTGTTGTATTAAAAATGAACTATTTATCAAGGAAAATGGTTTATTGAAAAATAGGATGAGCGTTTGAAAAAAAATTCTTACGATTTTAGCTTAAAAATGTTGGATGGAGAAACAATTCAATGGAAATTCTATTTTTTTTATTCTTTCAAGACTTGGCACATAACTCGCAATAAAGTAATTTCTACAAGCTTCTCTCCCCAAGTAGCCTATTCTATAACACTGTGTGACTGCTTTCTATATTCCTATGGAGGGACTACCATTTTGAGAGAGTATTATGGGTAGGAAAAGAAAATAGGAAAATAGTTGTAACATGGGAGTAAATGGTAGATAAAGGCATAAAACTACTCATTATGTAGTATTGATTTCCATGTTTACCCCATCTCACTAAGAAATACATACATACATACATATATATATATATATATATATATATATATATATATATATATATATATATATATACTAGCAGCATGGCCTGGCGTTGCCCGTGCTTGATTCAAAAATCGTACGACTCATACAGCAATCGCTATCACTTGACTTAAAATATTTTTGCCCTTCCTTGCCTTTAAAGGAATGCCCTTTGCCGTGCTGATGTTGCTACATGCCTTACTTCTTGCCTATCTCACACTGTGAATATTTTCTAAGCTCTATACGAAACATTAAACCTGTTACGAAAAAAGAACTAAACAAAATGAACACAAAACGATCAGCTTTAAAAAAAGGACTCGTAACTGGAAAAACCGAATGAAAAAAAGAATGTTAACAACAAATACTTTTTCCACACCCAACCCAGTTCTGCGGAATCAGAATCAACGTTGAGTTTAAGCAAGCGAATGAGCCAATTGGAGTAAAGTTCCATGCTGATTTAAATTTTTCCCACTTGTGACGAATGCAGCTATCGATTTTTTTGCATGCTAGTTAACATTCGTGTCAGCCAGCTGTTGGCTCTCACGCTGACTAATAGAATCTTCCTGTCTATTCGTGGCAGTCAGCTATAGGCTTTACTCTGGCCAGTAGAAAATGGCCGCAAACTACATGAAAACTGCCGTAGAAGCATGGCAAAATCGATTATTTCCACTATCGATGGGAGTTGGGAAATGCAATTCGGTGTTGTCCTTCTGCTAACTTGGAGCATGTGCATGTAAATTTTTGCGCAAATCCGTCAAAATTGAGCCGTGCATTCACACACACACACACACACACACACACACACACACACACACACACACACACACACATCCTGCCTATTATATATTAGTTTAAAAGCTGCCCTATCGGGCAGCATTTAAGCTAACTCCCGCGGAGGACTCTTGACTGGGCCTTCATTATAATAGCAAGGAAGGATTAGATGCGATAGGTAACAATAAACAGAAGAATTCAAAATTGATCGTTGCATATTACATTAATGTTTAAGCTTACCCTTTAAAAGTTCAATGATAATTCTTCTGTTGCCATTTAAAGGCATTTTGATGTACGTAGGTCCTTACTTTCCGTACAAGTAATTATTTTTATTTTCATGAGTGACTTTCAGTATTGCGGGTCCAGGTCGTGCAGGGATGTTTTTAATTTGCTCACGGAGTCGGCCTGATTCCAAAATGGTACGATATGTTGGGCTACGGCTTCTGGGAGTAAAGTTGAAAAAGTGTGACGTAATGAAACACTGAGAATTCGCATTTCTTACGTATATATATATATATATATATATATATATATATATATATATATATATATATATATATATATATATATATATATATATATATACTTTTATATATATATATATATATATATATATATATATATATATATATATATATATATATATATATATATATATATATATATATATAATAAAAGGCTTAAACACTAATATTCCATGGTCATAATTTATTCCATTGGAATCGTAAATACGATCCAATTCATCAGACCTACAAATTCAAGATGAAAACAGAAAAAACCCACTCCGGAAGTGAAAACAGAATTTAGAGAAAGTGTAAATATGAGGAGGAGGGAGATTGAACCTTAACAGAGAGATTTTAGATGTGTGGGGGAAGGGTTTTAAATAAGAGAAGAGAATGAATGTCGACGGATGTCTAATGCATAAAGATACATTTACCATGGAATATTAGTGTTTAAGCCTTTTTATTATATCCTTACTCTGTCCTAGACATTGAGTTCTACCTGGATTCTTCCTCTTGGAATTTTTTTCTGAAAATATACATGTATGGGTATTTATATATTTTGCATATGTATGTATATTTTCCACTAATATTACTCTCTCTCTCTCTCTCTCTCTCTCTCTCTCTATATATATATATATATATATATATATATATATATATATATATATATACTTTGAGCTACACCAATATATTATCCTGGAAAGATGGAGGTGCCGATTTTGACAACTCGACTGTCGTTTGGTAAATTCATAAAACTTCAGATTAGGTCCTCATAAAACCAAAACGCCTAACAATTTTGTGGAATAATGATCAATGTTAAATTTTTTATCGTAAGACCTACCGCTATGCTTTTGAGCCAAACGCTACCTCCTAGGCGCCATCTTAATATCTAAATCCAAGTCACTTCCGTTTCTTTGAGCTGCACAAGTGTTGATAGACAATATGAAACCAGATATTCTCCAGAGACCCGCGGATGAATTCATTTATGAAAACATTTAACGTATATCGCAGAGCATAGTTTTTTGTTTTTTTTAACGATATTTTTATTTTCCTGTCCGCAGATGAACTCGTCAGTTTCACACACACCAAGAATCGTTTTAAATGTATTAGACACCGCCATCTTTGAAGATGAAGAATTATCATTGACATTGAAAGCTGATTATATACAACGCAAGAAATGCGAATAAAAGGTGTTAGTAAATTGTATAGCGCCAATCCTTCAAGAGAAGAATGACCTGCTTCGAACATCAGTATTAGAAATAATAGTACTGCTAAAACTTGAACACCTGGTAATGACCCTGGCAAACACATTAATAAACACGGTAGACATTTTTAGGTACATGATTTTTTTTCTTTTTATGAGAAACGAAGGATTTTGACCAGTACTGAGGTTGCTTTACTTTTGTGCAAGAATTAGTGTTTCATTTTTTGCATTTTTTTTATGTTTGGGTTTAATATGGAGGCACGGTAGAGTAATGGATTGCGGCTAGGATTGCGAAATTGGTGAACCGAGTTCAAATTTCATTCGAGTTAATTACTTTCACTTACATCTTAATAACCTTGGTAAAGGTATTAATCCACTTTTTCTCCCCCTGTCTATGGATAAATAGTAATACAGACAGGATTCTATTACCTTGGGTTGCATCCAGTCTAAGATAAGGAAAACCAGCCTGTAGAGGGTTGGGCTTCATCAGGGTATCTTACCCAAGACACACACCTTGCGACTGCAATGCACGTATTGCTCCTACTGTATTATAAGACTCATTAGAAAATGGTTCTATTTTCCCAGTGCGTGTGTCTATCGTGACTATTTGCATATAGCCCAAAACTGATCACGTTCTTTGAAAATCATCCACTAGAAATATATATCGTGTTTGGTTAAATGTACTGGCACATTACTGAGCAATAATGATAATAATAATAATAATATAAGCAGTCAATTAAAATATAGTGTTAACCCAAAATGCAGGTTCTGTGATAATTACCCAGAAACAATCGGTTATCTTGTATCGGGTTGCACAGTATTGGCACCCACTGAATATAAAACCCGGCATGACAGAGTGGGCCAATATCTGCACTGGAAAATCTGTAACTTCTACGGGAAGGAACCTGAAAGAAACTGGTATGAACACCACCCAGACCCGGTTATGGAGATAGGGCCTGTTACAATTCTATGGGATTACACAATACACACTGACAGAACAATCAAGGCCAACCGCCCAGATATTGTTATTAAAGACCACAAACAAAAAAGTGCCTCCTTATTGATATGGCAGTCCCTGCTGACTGCAATTTATCTTTGAAGATATTCAAAAAGTTGTCAAAGTACAAGGACCTTGAAATCGAAATCTTTAAAATGTGGCATATGGGAACATCAACAATCTCCGTTGTAGTTGGAGCCCTCGGACTGATTGGAAAAGATTCCAATAGATTAATTGAAGGGATTCCTGAAAGTCCATGCCTTAAAGAAATACAAAAAATTGTTCTCACAAGTACAGCCCACACTTTACTTTACTTTATGTATTTTTTTTTTTTTTTTACAGTGGAAAATGTCATGATGACATCTCTAACCTTAGGTCTCTTGGCGGGACCCGGAAAGAAATGTGTACACACCTGAAATCAAAGGAAATAAAATAAAGATAATATTAATAATCATTGGTGCCGTTTAGACATTGAGGCACAGTGGAAAGAAGTACGAAATCTCATCTTCATCATGACTTCTTGTTTCCAAGTCCCTCCATCGGCTCAGGCCAGTTTGAGTTTTTTTCATCGTCCACATAGTCAATTCGTGGTTAATACAATAGCTATTGCGCGGTCGTCATTTACAGTTTAAGCAGGGATAAGCAGTAAGCCGGGTACTTGGTTTCTACCCGCTCATAGCGAAAAGAAAAAAAACTGATCGTTGATAAACACAAAACAAATTATTTATAATATTTTCACATACATTTAAATAGATAAATAGATATGAACAGACTGAGACACACACACACACACACACACACACACACACACACATATATATATATATATATATATATATATATATATATATATATATATATATAAAATCAACACTCAGAGGCTATCAGAGATAGAGCGTATTTACATCTCTCATATTGAGCACTTTATCTCCTAAATATAGCACACCTTAAAACTATATTTCTTCATATATATATATATATATATATGTGTGTGTGTGTGTGTGTATAGTACGGATAATCGATCCGTACAGGTAATCGATCCGATGGTATATAATCTAGTAATAATGATTGTTAAAACTGATCCACAGAGAGCTCGATGTTTTTATTTTAACAGAGCATATGGATTTTTTACAGCAAAATCCAAAATTTACCTCAACATCGGAATAGACTCAAACCGATCATTAACGGCCCCACCAATCGCTAACACAAATCCACTGCTGTTAACAAGGCGCCGACTAGAGACTGGCTTTGAAAAATACACAAATAAGCGCCCGAACACAAGTACTTAGTGGTTGACGAAAGCCGTTAAAGGACGGTTTGAAATAGACTGTTTTCGATGTTGAGGTAATTTTGCTTATTTTTGCTATAATATATATATATATATATATATATATATATATATATATATATATATATATATATATAGAGAGAGAGAGAGAGAGAGAGAGAGAGAAGAGAAAGGTAAAACAGGATGAGATAGATAGATAGATAGATAGATATGAACAGACTGGACTGGTCTCTCTCTCTCTCTCTCTCTCTCTCTCTCTCTCTCTATATATATATATATATATATGTGAAGTGATTTAGATAGATAGATAGATAGATAGATAGATAGATAGGAACAGAGATAGATAGATAGATAGATAGATAGATAGATAGATAGATATAGATTGGGGCAGACTTAGATAGATATGGACAGAGATAGATAGATAGATAGATAGATAGATAGATAGATAGATAGATAGATAGATAGATAGATAGGGGCAGACTTAGATAGATATGGACAGAGATAGATAGATAGATAGATAGATAGGAACAGACTGAGATATGAACAGACTTAGATAGATATGAACATAGATAGAAGATAAGGATGTTGAAGAGAGCCATGATCGCCTACGGCCTGAAGGGACACGGCACGCAGAAGAAGAAGAATGAGCTTGAGTAAATGGATGGTGGAACAAGGTTTAGGAGAGATAACAAACAGACATAATTTAATAAGAGCTACAAAGGACAGGAAATTGTGGAGAGCCATTATCGCCAACGTCCTGAATGGACATGGCACATAGAAGAAGAAAAATGAACTTGAGTAACTGGATGGTGGAACAAGGTTTAGGAGAGATAACAAAAAGACAAAACTGATTAAGATCTACAAAGTACAGGAAATTGTGGAGAGCCATGATCCCCTACGTCCTGAAGTGACATGGTACAGATGTGTAAAAACCATTGATTCACAGAATAACTATTTTCAGGGTTGAATGATTAACCATTAACGAAAATAGCTTAGGATCTTTTGTAAGTAATCGGAAAAAAAAAACTTTCCATGGGGAGGGTCTTTTGTGGACACGGTAACTCCATCTCTCAGTCTATGGAAAACATTCGCGGTTTTCGTTTCTTTTCTTCAAGGCAGACCAAACAAAAACGCCACTTTACAAATGGGAAATATTTATAAAGGTTTCATTTTAGCGTCCCAAACATAATTGTTTGGAAGAATTTTCTAAAGAAAGCGAAATCGGACGATTGGACTTTCTGTCATACATCGTCGGAATCGACAGAAATGCGTGAATGCGCATCCACTCGTTAGATTAACCACCTGGGGGAGGATTCTTTTGAATTTGTTTCTATTCGCTGAAAACTACATGCTTTCTGGTTTTATTCGTTCAGAAACTCGTTGTTGAAATGGGATTGAAGGAAATCTCAATAGAACAGCTCAGTCGTTAGAACACTGGACTGGAATCAGTCACAGTTTGACAATAAATGAGATTCCGTTCATTGGAATGAGATTGAAATAAGCATTAGTGAAACAACGATACTTTCAAAATTAGATTAAAAAACGAGAACTCGATTCTAGTAAGCGTCCGGTTCACAAACCTCCCCGGTCCTTTGAACAGGAGGAGAGGTTGTTTCCTGTTTAGGATTGGGTTTCCGCTTCCTTCTAAAGTCTACTTCAACTCTATACTTCTAACGTCTCCGCCTAAACTCTGAAATGTTATTTATTTATTTTCTTCCTTCAGTAGGTGTAGATAGGTTTTTTGAATAGGAGTAGAGGTTTATCCCTTGTTTCCTGTTTAGGATTGGGTTTCCGGTTCCTTCTAAAGTCTACTTCAACTCTATACTTCTAACGTCTCCGCCTAAAGTTCTGAACTTTTATTTACTTTACCGGTTTACGGTTCCTTTAAAACTCTTCCTTTTCTTTCACTTCCTGTGGCCCCTTGCGACTTGATGGCATTATCTCCTTGTTTGGTTTGGTACCTTTTAATCTGTAACCTTCTACCTCGCGTGGCTCTTGGGCCTTGTACAGAGTGAAAATCATAACGGTTAATCCTAAACAAGTTAAGATTGTAAGAATTAAGGAAGCACCCAATTGGGAGTTGGTTCCACAAAGCGGCGGTTCATAAGAAGAAGCTGCTCGAGTGGAACTTAGGTCTCACCAATGGAATATGGAAGGAATGAGGGGATTCGCTACAATAGGCGTGGCATGGTAGGTCTTAGCTGTGAAGGGTAGAACTGGTGGAACTAAGGAATGTAGTTCGCTTGAATACTTTCCATGGAATTAGCGATAGAACAGTGAGAAGCTTTGCGAATTTTTGTCTGTGAGAAAGTTTTGTTTGCATTGTTTTGTTTTACGGTATATCAACCTCAATGGGTTATTTAATGCCAACAAGATTTTTACTGCTGGTAATACTTTTTTTTACTAAAAAAGTGACATTATCTCTACGAAATAGTAATTGCACATTTAATCAACTTTAGCATATCAGTCAAAGGCACACAACTCTTCATAATCA